CCTAAGCACAGCACTTTGGGCACAGGGATTTTCCTTTTTATTTTTTTATTTTAAAGTATGTTAAAGTATGATACAGAGAACGAGTAGTGTTGTTTTTGGTTCTCTCTCTCTCTCTCTCTGTCTTTTTTTTTTAAGTGATGATATGTTTCAGTGAAAAACATAGATTATCCAATTTTAAACCAGTTTGGTCATTCTACCTAAGATGAGGGACATGGCCATTAATTAACGTCAAGCCAAACTACACTAAAAGTATTTTGGGGCAGAAATTAAAATTAACTTTTGAAAATCAAGTGCCTCATCATTTCTCCTATCATAACAAAATGGCTGGTTACCTAGTCACTTGCTCTTCCCTTCCCTTCTAATCTCTGGAGTATTTGGGTGGAATAGCAGATGGAGTTAGCGACAGTTTAGTCCCTTTTAGGTAGCATTTTCTAAATTATGTTACCAAATCTCCAGGGCATACAGATGGGTTAAAAGATTTAAAAATTCCACATAGTAATCTTTTGCACAGCTTTTAACTTTAACGTATAGTTTAAAAAAAAAAGGAAAATTGGGTCATCAAATTTAACTTTAAAGCACGGTTTATAAACCTCTTTTAAGTGGTAAGTCTTAGGCAGGCACTGTCATTCTTGGTGTGCAGGCTGGTGACATAGCTACATTTACTATTTTTTAAGTTGCATGTTGTGAAGTAAAAGATGCCAAGTCCTAAATAAGTAGCAAAATGGTCATTGAGACCCACTGGTACTATCCACATTATTTATTTATTTATTTATTTATTTATTTTTGCTTTAAAATACTAAGCCGATTTCAGCTGCTTACTAACACAGTGGACTAGTTGTACAGTATCTCTTTCTGTTCAGTTCCTCCTAGCCACAGTGGGAACTTGAGGTTCTTTGGTAATCATCAGAGATTCCTTCTAAGCCACAGATTTTTAAATGAATGTTTTTATGGTTATATTCAACATATAAGGAAAAAGGGTACATTGGTGCATGTTTTATAAACCCAAACACAGATAGTTAAAACAATAATTAGTTTTTCTATGCCCAATAGCTTTGAATTAAAAACAGATGCCTTTTCTCCAACCTTGTTCTAGGAACCACATTGTGTATCTAACATAAGGAACTGGTGGTAGGAGAAACAAGATCGAGAATTCAGAATTTAGGGGGAAATGCATCATACTCTGTCTATTTGAAAATATATTTATTTGTAGATAAGTCTAGATTTAATCTTGGACATCGAGGTTTTCACATTTTAAAACTTTTTCATTCCTTTACATCAGTCAAAATGTGGCATATGTTAAGGGACCATTTCTCCTGTCATGTTCATGTATTTTGGAATTAAGTTGTTTACATTCATTCTCTTAACATCTGCCCATTTCTGCTTATGTGCATTTACCACAGATGTGTTGGGGCTTTGCCTAAAGGGAGAGAGATTTTAGCACCTGTTTTACTGAGGCGAAAGAATGATTGACAATTCCTCCATTGTTTAACCTTGAGTTTGGTTGTATACAGTTTATTTACAATTATGTATCTGTGTTTTAATACAAAAAGTCTATAGGATTAAGGCATGGTAGTCCTCACATGTCAATATTTACCCAAGTTCAGAAACCATAGGTGCATACTTAAACTATAACTTAGAGAAGGGGATAAGATGGTTCTAGTTCTCAGACCACATGGAAGGATGTAGTACATTGCACACCTCAGGTAGTTGTAAGGACATCCTGCTTCCCTGTCTCATCCAGCAGAACTCTGGTGTGGACTTCAAGGATGTGGGAGTAGAACATTTGATTGAGATCTTGCCCCCTAGCAGTTGTCCTCAATTACGGCTCAAATAAACTCTTGAAAAAATTGGGGGAAAAGGGATGTAGGAGTAGTGTGGAAACATCTAACCATAGATATTCTTAGTATTTTGGCTGTCCCTTTAGAATTATGAGAAATTTAATCCAGATAGTTTTGAGAGCCTGAGGAATCTGTTGCCAACCTTGCCAGAGAGAACTACAGGAGGCATATGGGGAATTCCTTCAGTTCTTAGGTAGCTCCAGGACGTGGGATAAAGATCCCCATTCATGCAAAAGAGAACTTGGATGCTGCACACCTCAGTGCCTACATTTCCCTGGCTTGACATGTAATGAGGACATTCAAGTCTTGACCCATGAATACATTTTCTAACTCAGTTGTGATTATCAGCTCTGACATTTTAATTACTCCCCTTAAGCAAATCTGGGTCAGAAAATTAAAGTACATGACACGACCAAGATCATCTTTAGGTTATATGCAATCTCAACACACTGAGTAGCCAGGAGTACCATTTCCTAAGTAATGATTTGAATATTTCCTTAGACTTGGCTGGATCCTTGATCTTAAAAGAAGGGTAGCCGTTTCCTTCACTGTCCTGTAAAACTTGAACTGGGTCTGCCTCTTTAATTGGAAGTGACAGTTACCGGGGATAATGTGTATTCCTGGTGATGCTGATGTCTCTCTCAGATAACCTGGACCAAGAGTTCTTGGTTCCTGGACCTAGAGAATAAGGTACACTGAGGCAGACTTTGAGCCCATGTGACTAGAATTTGCCGATGACATAATTTTACACATTAGTGATGGATGGAATTTTATTTCTTTTCATTTAATATTTCATATTGTGTACAGAAGTGTTCACTCACAGTTAAAAACATTAAGTAAATCACATTTTTGTATAAACTGCTCTTGCCATGGCTTTCCTGCTATAACATACAGTTTAAATCCTTCAAGTTCCGTGTGCAGCACACTCGGCAGACCTGGAATCCATGTGGGTGTTCTCCACTCACCTCCAGGAGTAAACAAGGCTACCAAAGCTTGAATGTGATTTTTTTTAGGGAGCACCCCAGAGAGGGGATGCCCTTCGGACTTTTTCAAAACTATTTTATTTTTACGCTTTTCACACCAGATAGGTAAATCAGTTCACTAAGATAAAAAGCATTCAGAGATACGAATAGGAAGATAAAGGAATTATAACAGTGTGCTACTTGGGGCTCTGAAGTCAGATCGGGTGAACCAAATCAAGAAGAGAACAGGTCTGATGACCCAGGCTTGAGCCTCCTCACCTCTCTCCCCCTGATACACAGGCCCTGGTCCTCCTCCTGACTCCTTTCCTAAAATAGCCAGTGCTGATTTAATTAGGCCATTTACTTACAAATTTACAACTTTTAGGAAAAAAGGAAGGGAAAAATACCTAGTTTTGCGTTAGATATAAATCTTGGAAGTTATGAATTATTGGCAGCTGTTTAATCAGATTGAACCACAAACCAGAATTCACTCTCGTCGAGCAAGACCAATAAGTTAGCATAGAGGACTTTAATAATTCAAGTTTTCTCCCTTTCTTCTCCTCTTCATGAAATCAGAGTGTTGAGAAATTGCTCTTGGAAATGCCTCCAAAGGTATTGTGTCCCTTTGCCCTCCAAGCAGCCCTCTTTATGCATTTTTGCTCAGGCAACCAAGGACATAGAGTATTGGAAGAAATATGGAGTGCTTTTGTATAGGTCATCTGTACATAAAAGTGTAATTATTTATTTAATTTTACCATTTGTATCATATTAAAGCTTTGTACAGTGTTTTAAGTTCTGTTTTAAAATTATTTTGTATTTTATTTTTATAATCTAGTAATAAAATATTCATTCCGCATGCAACTCTAGTTCTGTTTGTATGATGGCTTGGATTTAAAAAGTGGGAAATATTTTTCTAATTTTAATAATGTTATTAAATGCACAGAAGTTCCAAGATCAACAGGGCATAAAGTGTTATATAAATGTAGTACCACATTTAGAAGGCTTAGAAAAGCACTGGACTGAATACAAACTATCAGTATCCCTGCAGATGAAAACCCAGGGTTCAGGGATATGAGATGGATTCCCATGTGATAAAAGTGTTAAAAGCACCCTTTCAGTCCATCATTCTATCTCTGGCTGGAAGTATTTTTCCTTCTGTGCAGGGACCACCCCTCATAGCACTGGAGTGATTCTTGGTCCCCACCACCCTCTCCTTTCCACTTATAATCATTTTTGAAGGAGAGGAACTCTTAGGAGACATTCACATGGGCACTGCTTCACGTCTCCCGGTTTGGGCTGGCCTGGAGTGTTGGTGCTGTATGTCTTTCTCCCCCTGGTTTTCTTCCTTGATTTCCCAGTGAGCAGCAACATCCAAAGTGCTGGCTCTCAGGTTTTCAAAATAAGAGAAATTAAGAAATAACTCAAGCTCCCAAAAGCTAATCATGAATGTGACTATTACCATCTCAATTGCAAAGTAGTTGAAATATTAATCTGGTGTAAACCCATCATTACAACATGTAAGGGATGTAAAGATACAAACTAGCGATTCTGTGTGCAGGGGAGCCTGAGGCACTTCAAGGGTTATGGGTTGAGGATTGTAAAAAGCCTCCCAGCAAGAACTCGGGCTCAAAGTCTTTAATGGTCAACCTGCTGAGTGCAGAAAGCCTATAGGTTCTGCATGGGCAGGGGAGATTGCAAACTTAGCCTCTGAAAAAGGTCAAATGAGGTTAGGCCAACTTTGTCGTAACTTTTTTAGGGTGATGAGGGTCAATCTAGAAAACTTAACTACTGGGAAAAAGAAAAAAAAATGTGCTTATCGAGGAAGGTATAGGCAGGCCCTCTCACGGCAGAATTTTGTTCACCTTTACCGTCTGGCCGGTCTCCGACCCTTCTGTCTTTCCTGCTGCGTCCACGGCAGGTCGGCCCCACCGGCAGGACATCCCGGCCCAGGGCTCACCCAGAGCGGTGCGGATGCACTTTGCAGACTGCAGGGCCAGTGGTCCGGGCCTGCTGACCCAGCCGCAGCCCAGACTGGCGGCCAAAGCAAAGCTTCAGTTCGGGGAAGTCCCGCGGCCCAGCCAGGCCCGGCCCCACCCCTCCGCCCCGTCCTCCCACCCCGAGACCCAACAGCCGCCTTTCGGCGCTAGCCCCGCCCCTCCTTGGCCGCCCGCGGCGCGCTAGCGCCTGCGCAATCGCCCTGGAGCGCCCGGACCGGTATGGCGGCCGTTTTGGAGTCGCTGTTGCGGGAGGAGTTGTCGGTCGCAGCTGCCGTGCGGTGGATCGCGCGCGGCGCCAAGAGTTCGGAGGTAACGATGTCGACACGCCCCCAGACCTGACCAGAATCTACTTTCTGCGGGAGACACCACCTCTTAGGTCCCCTTTCTCTGGGTGACTGGCTGTCAGCCCGGGCCGAGTGCGCTCCAACTGGGGGCCGCTGTGCTGCTCGTGGCCCCGGGCTGGCAGCTGACCCTTTCGCCGCCTTTCCCTCAGGATGACCCCGGAGAGGCGGCCGCGCTGAACTCACTCCTGCCCCTACGGAAAGAATTCGTGCCGTTCCTGCTGAACTTCTTGAGGGAGCAGAGCAGCCGTGTCCTCCCGCAGGGCCCCCCAACCCCCGCTAAGGTCCAGGGCTCCACGGCAGCACTGCCAGGGAGGCCTGGGGGCCCGCCGCGGGGAGGCCGCGGGGCGCGCAGCCAGCTCTTCCCTTCCACCGAGACTTCGAGCGCCGCCGCCGCCGCCGAGGCCTCTTCGGCCCGCCGTGGGGGCAGGAGGCGGGGCCTGGGGCTAGCCCGCGAGCGAGGTGGCCGCGGCCCCGGGAGCCTAGAGGAGGGGGTCAGCGGGGAGAGCCTGTTCTGGGCAGGGGGCCGGAGGCCTAGGGCCTGTGGCAGTCCCGGCAGCCCCAGCCTCTCGCGCTCTCATCCGCCAAACCTCAGCAACCTGGAGGAGTTCCCTCCAGTAGGCTCGGTTCCCACCGGCTCTGCAGGGTGAGAATCAGCCCTCTCATCTAGGAGATGGGTGGTGGGAAGACTGTGCTAGGGGAGTCAATAAATTAGGGCTGGGCGCTCCTCAGAAGAGCGTGGGAATAGCTAGAATGTTGAGGATGAGATAACTACAACGATGGGGGGGGGGGGGTGTTGCAAGGGCTCCAGCTGTTGTGAGGATGTTTGATGATGGGAATTTTAGAAAACCTGTGGCTACTCTTAGCAGAACGAAGCCTTCACGCCGGATCAACCCAACTCCGGTGAGCGAAGAGCGGTCACTCTCCAAGCCCAAGACCTGTTTCACTACACCGCCAATCAACTGTGTCCCCAGTTCCCAACCCTCAGCCCTGGACTCCAGCCCTTGGGGCCATGGCCTTCCCCCAGGGTGCAGAAGTCTGCAAGAAGAGCGGGAGATGCTCAGGAAGGAGCGGTAGGGCCTTGCGGCTCCCTGGGATGTTAGTTTCCTTCCTGTGGGGGTTCTCCAAGGCTTTTCCCTGGGATTAATTGCCCTCTGGGAACCTTGGGTCTGTTCTGGGGTGCGGGTGCCCTCTCTGGAGGAACCTGAGTGTGGCTGTGGAGGGGAAGCCAGGCTGACTGCTCATGACATCTCTTTATCTCCAATAGCTCTAAGCAGCTGCAGCAGTCACCTGCTTCCACCTGTCCCATCCCAGAATTGGGATCTTCGCTTCCCACCAGGACAGGAAACCTCACAGCTGAACCTGCTGACCCTGCTAAAGTGTCTTCCCGCCAGCGCCTGGAACTGGTGGCCCTTGTCTACTCTTCATGCATTGCAGGTGAGTGACAGCAAAGAGCACTGGAGTGGAGGGAAATACTTGTAAAACTATAGGGTAAGGGAATCGATAAGTCATGTAGAACTGAGTTTTGGTTCTGAATGGTGCCCAATGTGCTGCGATTTCTTTTTATATCCAGAAAACCTGGTGCCAAATCTCTTCTTGGAGCTTTTCTTCGTTCTTCAGCTCCTTACTGCCCGGAGGATGGTGGCTGCCAAAGACAGTGAGCCTGAGCCTAGTCCAGGAACCCTAGGTCAGTGAGCAAGCCTCTTTTTGAGAAATGGGGTCTGGAGAGAGAATAATTCTTACCTGACAACTTAATGTTATCCTTCTAGATTCCCTGGAAAGCCCACTATTCCAGAGTGTCCACGATTGTGTCTTCTTTGCAGTGCAGGTTTTGGAGCATCAGTTTCAGTGAGTTTCCTTAGCTGAGGCACATGAGCCTTATCCCCATTTTCCACTTGGTGCTCTGGCCATTTGGGGTATGGGCTTGTGCTTATCACAAGTGTGCAGTGACATGGACCTTTCCCTACATGTAACCCTTTAATTTTGTGTCAGGCCTACGAATTTAGCCCGTGAAAGGATCAGGCTGCCCACTGTGGTCTTGGTGACTGACCTTTGGGTTGATGTCCATGTTCCTGTCGTGTTCTCTTCCACTCTGCTCCAGAAGGTCTCATATCTTCTGCTTTTACCTCCGTTACCTTTAATCCTTGGCCTGTGGTTTTGCCTTTCCGGCCGGCTCCATGCTCCATACTCTGTGTGGTATGCAGGTGCCACTTCTTATTTGAAGTGTGTGTCCCATTCTCAGTCATATGTGCTCTTGACCCTGTAGAGTTCTCTCCTACCTGGACAAAGGGACCTTGAAGTTGTTAGCTGAGAATGAGCGACTGCTGTGCTTCTCACCAGCCCTGCAAGGCCGCCTTCGAGCTGCCTACGAGGGCAGTGTTGCCAAGGTACTGACCCCATCTTAGATGCCTACTGGCCCAGACCTGACCCTTCCCGGTCTCATAATTCAGGCAGCCCAGCTCATACCCCACTACTGTCCTGTGGTCTAACTCTGCACAAGAATATGGGGGTGAAGTTTTCTGAGTATGCAGGCTTCTCTCTTCCTAATGTCACTGCCATATTCTAGGTTTCTCTGGCGATGCCACCCTCTGTTCAAGCTGTCTCCTTTCAGCCAGAAACTGACAATCGTGCAAACTTCTCCAGTGACCGAGCCTTTCATACTTTTAAAAAACAGAGGTGATAAGAAAAGGGAATTTGGAGGGTCGGGGGTGAGGGCACATTTTACTCTGTGATAGGCAACCTATGTCATTTTCATAGAAACCAGAAGTTTGATACTAACAGGTGTTTTATGCCCATAGACTTGAAACTCTGACCTTAGCAGCCTTCTCATAGGTGTTTGATCTTAGTCACAGGGTTCTCAGTCAGGAAAGAGCTGGATCAACTCTCAGACCCTGCAGAAGTACATCCAGCATGTGGTGTGCTGCTGCTTGGTTATAGCATAATCATCCTATAGAGCACATTGGAGAACATAGGAACAGGCTATGGGAAGTCCTGTCCTCAGTTCTTCTGAGCTAGGAAAGGTGCTTGTGTGAATAAGTTAGGTCAGCTGGGAATGAGACCAGCTGTGCCTCAGTGCACCAGGCATTCTTGTGTGTCTGTCAGGGATGTGTTCTACGAGGTGCTTCGAGAGTGGGAAGATCGCCATGAGGAGCCTGGCTGGGATTTTGAGAAGGGCTTGGGCAGCAGGATCAGGTAGGTGCTCAAACGCTGGTCACCTTGTCCTGCTTCCAGCAGCGAGCAGCTCAGTGGTGCTTGTGTAGCTGATGGCAGGAACACTTTTCTCCCACTGCTTCCACCCTGAAGTTGTTATCTTCTTTCCTCCTTAATCTCTCCAGTTATTGCCAACTCTGCCTCTCCTTGAAGGGGTTGTCTTTCCAGCTCCTTCACCTCAGCGATGACTTAGAGTTGTTCTGTGGTGGTGAATGCTTGGAAAAGTGCAAAGCCCTTGCTGTAGGTTGCTTGAGTTTTGGCCCAAGTTACTGTTTAGGCTCTTCCCGACCCCATTTTCTCCATCGTCTAGTTTGGAATTCTGATATCTTTGCATAGCTAGATAATAGGATGCAGAAAGCATATCCTCTGCCCAGTGATCTTCCTCATGGGTCATGATGCTCACTGGCTTTCAGTGTGGACTAAAGATTAGAGGGGTGATATTGTTTCTTGTTTAGCTAAGTGCATCTCTAGCCTTGAAGGGATCTCACTACTGGGGAAAGTGTCCCTTACCGTTTCCTGCATGCTTGTGCTGGCCAGCTGTAGCAGAGGTCTGCTCAAAGGGCCTGGGAAAGGTCTGTAAGGCCCAAGCAGCGGCTTGTTCTGTCAGATCTGCCCCCTGCCTCCTTCCTCACACTCCATTCCTGCCTCTTATTCCTCAGAGCCATGATGGGTCAACTCTCTGCAGCTTGCAGCCACAGTCATTTTGTTCGGCTTTTCCAAAAACAACTTCTCCAGGTAATAGCCCCAGCAGGAGATTAATCTACAGTGACCAGTAGGCGTTATAGACAGCCAGGTAATGGCTGGTGCTGTGGGATAGAGCAGGCAGCCAGGTGGGTCCTGGGCTGGAGTTTGAACAGGAGTTCTCCTTCTTGAGTGGTGGTTGAAACTCAGGCAGCCAGAGAGGAACCAGGGTGCTCTTTCCCACACCCTGCACCCACACCTGCCTGGCCTCCTCTCATGCCGTGTAGCTTCCTGCCTACCTTCAGCCTCTCACTACTTCCTTGCCCTTCTTTTCTGCATGGTAGAAAGAATGTGGGCTTAAGACTCAGGTGGGTCTGGTTTCAGATCCTAGTTCTATTGACCCTAGGCTGCAGGTGGCAAACACAAGGCCCGCGGGCCAAATCCAGTCCTCTACCTTGTTTCTACCCCATGGCAGCACCAAGCTCTTGCTTAACTGTTAAGGAGTAGTTACATTTATACAGTCCTAAAATTACATTTGGCCCTTTGAAGGCAACTGTGAGGCTGATGTGGCCCCCGGCGAAAATGAGTCTGCCAGCCCTGCCCTAGTCAGATGTTTAATCTTTTTTTTTTAATATTTTATTTATTTATTTTTAGGGAGGGAAGGGAGGGAGAAAGAGGGAGAGAGAGAAACATCAATGTGCGGTTGCTGGGGGGCGTGGCCTGCAACTCAGGTATGTGAACTGACTGGGAATCGAACCTGTGACACTTTGGTTTGCATCCTGTGCTCAATCCACTGAGCTACGCCAGCCAGGGCTCAGATGTTTAATCTTGCAGTTTCATTTTCTTTACCTGTAAAACAAGGACATAATCCCTACCTCAAAAATGTATCTATGGCACCTGATAGAGGGTTGGCATTCTATTAATGTTTATTACTTCTTATTTATTTTGTTCAGTCCTTCTTTCCAGAAAACCTTACTGGTATTTTTATTTCTTTTCTCCTCACTGCCCCAGATGTGTCAGAGTCCCGGTGGTGCTGGGGGCACTATCTTGGGTGAGGCTCCAGATGTGTTAAGTATGCTTGGAGCTGACAAGTTGGGCCGGTTGAGGCGCCTACAGGAACGGCTTGCAGCTCCTCAGAGCAGCGGGGGACCCTGTCCACCACCCTCCTTCCCAGGCTGTCAGGGATTCTTCAGGGACTTCATCCTGAGTGCCAGCAGGTAAAGGTTCCTCTCTCTTGCAGGGAGTGGGGCACAGGCCAGGAGAGGTTTGTCTTCCCAGAAGGGCAGACAGTTCTCTCTCCTTTGTCTGCAGTGTACAGAGTGGGACCAAGGGATATACAGGTTCCTTCTAGCTCTCACTTTCTGTCTCCGTTTTCCTTCTTATTCTTTTTTAAAATTAATTTTTATTTCTTTGTTTTTCAACTTTTACATTTGACATTACATATTAGATTAGTTTCAGGTATTCAGCATAGTGGTTAGAAATGTGTGTAACTTACAAAGTGATCACCTGGTTAAGTCTAGTGCCCACCTGAAGCCATACATAGTTATCACAATATTATTGACTGTGTTCCCTGTGCTGTACTTTACATCCCTGTGACTATTTTTATAACTGGCAATTTATACTTCTTAATTCCTTTACCTTTTTTGCCCATATCCCCAACACCCCTCCCATGTAGCAACCATCAATTTGCTCTTTGTATAAGTTCTTTTCAGTTTTATTTATGTTTGTCTGACTTCATTTAGTATAATACCCTCTAGCTGCATCCATGTTGTCACAAATGGCAAGATTTCGTTCTTTTTTTATGACTAATATTCCATCTGTATATCTATCACATCTTTCTTTTTATCCTCACCTGAGAGTATATTTATTAATTTTAGAGAGAGGAAGGGAAGAGAGAGAAATGTGTCTGTGAGAGAGAAACATTTATCAGTTGCCTCTTGCACACACCCTGGCCAGGAATTGAGCCCATGACCCCAGCATGTGTCCCAGCCAGGGACCAAACCCACGCCTTTCTGGTGTGTGGAACAACACTCCAGCCTGGGGCACCGGCTGGGGCTGCAGCGCATCTTCTTTATCCGTTCTTCTATCATGGACACTTAGGTTGCTTTCATACTTGGCATTTGTAAATAATGCTGCAGTGTTTTGGATTTCTTTTTTAATTTTTTTAAGGAACCTCCATATTGTTTTACTTGATGGCTACACCAGTTTACAATCCCACAAGCAGTGTATGAGGGTTCCCTTTTTGCATATCCTTGTCACCACTTGTTTGTGGATTTCATGTTGATAGCCATTCTGAAAGGTGTGAGGTGATATTTCATTTGGGCTTTAAATTTCATTTCCCGCTATAAATGTGAGTTCCGGCTAAGATGGAGGCATAGGTAGAAAGAAACCCTTTGCTTCCTCGCATAACCAAAAGGAGGGTAACAACCAATCTAAAATCAATAGACAACCAGAAGTGCCAGAAAATCAAACTGCATGGAACTCCGACAACCAAGGAATTACAGAAAGTCAACCAGACCAGTAAGACGGGTGGACTGAGAGAACCCACCGCAAGGCAGTGGACCGTGTGGGCAAGGCTGGCTGCTGGGAGGCTATGGACCCCGCCGTCAGGGCTGACTGAACAGGAAAGTGAGACTCAGACCTGGCTGTGGACTATGCAGGGGTTGCTGTGTTGGGAGAAACTCCCAGTCTCACACGAGATTGTTGGAAAGTGGGCTAGAGCCTAGCAGGCAAGCTGCATTCTTCCCTCTCTGGCCCCTCCCCCACAGACAGCCCCACAGCGAAACAAACAGGGTTGCCCTGCCCAGGTGAATACCTAAGGCTCCGCCCCTTTACAATTTAACTGCTGTGCCAAGACAAAGAAATATGGCCCAAATGAAAGAACAAATCAAAATTCCAGAAAGAAAGCTAAGTGATGAGGAGATGGCCAACCTATCTGATGGAGAGTTTAAAGCCCTGGTAATCAAAATGCTTACAGAACTGATTGAACTTGGTCAAAAAACAAAAGAACAAATGAAAGATACCCAAAGTAAAATAAAGCAAAATATTCAGGGAACAACAGTGACAGGAAGGAAACCAGGACTCAGATCAACTATTTGGAACAAAAGGAAGAAATAAACATCCAATTGGAATAGAATGAAGACAGAATTTTAAAAAATGAAGAGAAGCTTAGGAACCTCTGGGACAACTTTAAATATTCCAATACCCAAATTATAGGGATTCCAGAAGAAGAACAACAGCAAGAAATCTGACCAAATAATGGAGGAAAACTTACCCAGTCTGGCAGAGGAAATAGACTTCCAGGAAGTGCAGAGAGTCCCAAAGAAGTTGGACCCAAAGAGGAACACACCAAGGCACATCGTCACTAAGTTACTCGAGATTAAAGATGAGAGAATCTTAAAAGCAGCAAGAGGAAAGGAGAGCATTACCTACCAAGGAGTGCCCAAAAGACTATCAGTTGATTTCTCAAAAGAACCCTTACAGGCAAGAAGGGGCTGGAAAGAAGTATTCCAAGTCATGAAAGGCAAAACCCTACATCCAAGATTACTCTATCCAGCAAAGCTTTCATTTAGAATGGAAGGTCAGATAAAGTGCTTCCCAGATAAGGTCAAGTTGAAGGAGTTCATCATCACCAAGCCCTTATTTTATGAAATGTTAAAGAGACTTATCTAAGAAATTGAAGATCAAAAACTTTGAACAGTAAGATGACAACAAACTCACAACTACCAACAAATGAACCTAAAAAACAGAAAAACAGCATAAACAAAAACTAAGCAAATTACCAGAACAGGAACAGAATCAGAGAAATGGACATCACATGAAGGGTTTTCAGTGGGGAGGGGGAGGGGAGGAATGGGGGGGAAAGGTACAGGGAAGAAGAAGCATAATTGGTAGACATAAAATAGATGGGGAGAGGTAAAAAATGGTATAAGAAACAAAGAATTCAAAGAACTTATATGTACAACCCATGGGCATGAACTAAGGGGAGGAATGCTGGAGGGTTGAGGGGTGCATGGCGGAGCGGGGCTAAAGGAGTACAAATTGGAAGAACTCTAATAGCATAGTCAATGCAATAATACTTTAAAAAATTAAAATAAACAAATTGCATTTCCCTGATAATTAAGTTTGAACATCTTTTCTTGTGTCTATTGGCTGTATGTCCTCTTTGGAGAAAGACCTGATCAGGTCCTTTGCCCATTTTTTAATTGGGTTGTTTGGTTTTTTTGGTGTTCAGTTGTATGAGTTCATTATATATTTCGGGTGTTAACCCTTTGTCAGGTGTGGTGTTGGTGAATGCCTTCTCCCTTTCAGTAGGTTGTCTTTCTGTTTTGCTAATGATTTTCTTCACTATGCAAAAAACCTTTTAGTTTGATGTAGTTTAATTTTTTTCTTTTGTTTCCCTTGCTAAAGGAGACATACCAAAAAAATATTGCTAAAAGTGATGTCAAAGAGTTTATTGCCTGTTTTTTATCTAGGAGTTTGTGGTTTCAGGTCTTACATTTAAATCTTTAATCCATTTTGAGTTTATTTTTGTATGTGGTGTAAGAATGTGATCCAGTTTCTCTTTTATTTATTTATTTGCATGGATCTGTCCAATTTTCTCAATACCATATATTGAAGAAACAGTCATTAACTCATTATATATTCTTGCCTCTTTTGTCATAGATTAATTGACCATAGATGCTTGGATTTAGTTCTGGGCTCTGTTCTGTTCCATTGATCCATATGTTTGTTTTTATGCTAGTACCAACCTGTTTTGACTACTGCAGCCTTGTAGTATAGTTTGATATCAGGTAGCGTGATACCTCCAATTTAGTTCTTCCTCCAGATTACTGTGACTATTTGGGATCTTTTGTGGTTCCATATACATTTTAGAATTACTCTGGTTCTGTGGAAAAATGCCATTGATATTTTGATAGGAATTGCATCGAATCTGTTAGATAGCCGTGGATAGTGTGGACACTTTAATGGTGTTAATTCTCCCTATCCATGAGCATGGTATATACTCCATTTATTTGTATGTTCAGTTTCTTTCTTCACTGTCTTAAACAGTTGTTAGAGTACAGGCAGGTCTCTTACCTCTTTGGTTAAATTTATTCCTAAGTTTCTTCTTCTTCTTTTTTTTTTTTTTAAGAGGGGAAGGGAAGGAGAAAGAGGGAGAGAAACATCAATATGTGGTTGCCTCTTCCGTGTCCCCTACTAGAGACCTGGCCCACAACTCAGGCATGTGTTCGACTGGGAGTCGAACTGGTGACCCTTTGGTTTGCAGGCTGGCGCTCAGTCCACTGAGCCACACCAGCCAGAGCTATTTTATTCTTTTTGATGCAATTGTAAATGGGATTGTTTTTTCAATTCTCTTTTTTTATAGTTTGTTATTGGTGTATAAAAGTCAAACTGATGTCAACATTAATTTTTGTATCCTGATACTTTACTGAGTTCATTTATTCTAATAATTCTTTGATGGAATCTTTAGGATTTTTTTATGTGGAGTATCATGTCATCTGCAAAAAATGACAGTTTTACCTCTTCCTTTCCAATTTGAGTGCCTTTTCTTTCTTTTGTCTCATTGCTGTGGCTAGGACTTCCAATACTGTGTTAAATAAAAGTGGTGAAAGTGGACATCCTTGTCTTTTTCCTGATGTTAAAGAAAGAGCTTTCAGATTTTCACTGTTGAGGATGATGTTAGTTGGGAGTTCATCATATATGGCCTTTATTATGTTGAGGTATGTCCCCTTAATCTCACTTTTCTGAGAGTTTTTATCATAAGTAGATGGTGGATTTTGTCAAATGCTTTTCCTGTTGATATTGATAATACCATATGATTTCTATCCTGACTTTTGTTTTGTGGTGTATCAAATTTATTTATGGATACTTAACTAACCTTGCTTCCAGGAATAACTCCCACTTGATAATGATGTATGATCTTTTTAAGTTATTGCTGAATTTGATTTGCTAATATTTGTTGAGGATTTTTACATCCATGTGCATCAGAGCTATCAGCCTATGATTTTCATTTTTTGTAGTGTCTTTGGTTTTGGTATCAGGATAATGCTGGCCTCACAAAATGAGTTTGGGACCTTCTCCCCTCCACCCCCCACACTCCCCCACCCTCCTGTTTGACTTTTTAGAATAGTTTGAGTATAGGCATTAATTCTTCTTTGAATGGTTGGTAAAACTCGTCTTGTGAAGCCATCTGGTCCAGGGCTTTTGTTTGTTG